CACCTGGGCAGAAATAAGGGACAAATACCAAGCCCCTCATACTGAACTTTTTATAATCTTACAAATCAAAAATTGGGTGACTTTGGTGTTCACTGACAAAGATCCAATGACTCAACTGTCCTTGTTCGAACATATTTGTCATCAGACGCCCTTCTCCCCCCAAATTTATATCTATCCTTAACTCACAATTGAATAACCTTCAAAATCCCAACGATCACACTCACTTTTCTAGGTGAGAAAAGAACCTTAAAAGCACTATAGATATGGGCTGCTGGTCACAAATATGGACGACCCTGACCTCTTTCTCCCTCAATTTTCTTACTATCGAATCATCCTTTAAAACTGTCACAAGAGGGCACACCGTCTGGCGCACCTTTACCCATCTGCCCCCGGTACCTGTTTCCAAGGATGCGCTACCCCAGGAGGTATCCTTCATATATGGAGGACATCCCTTAACTCCTACATTTGTTATTACCCTTCCCAAGGGACCTGTGGTATGTCCTTCTACACTTGAAAACCCCTGGGCCTTACTAAATACCAATTTAAGCTGGACACATATGTAGTATTTGCAGCAAAAAAAAATTGCGATAGCTTGGAAACAACAATTCATACTTTTTACAGAAGTTCACTGCCACCTAGACTTCTTCCTTATTAATGAAAAGCTCTCCAGCATTCTTTCAGATAGCCATGAGAGATTTCTTAAAACATGAACTTCATGGATCCAACATGCCCATCCTGCTATACCAATAGGCAGGTTTACATTGCTATAATTATTAAGGCTCCATAACCCGTGTTTGAGCAAACATACTCCTTTTGACTCTTTCTTGCCCCCCCCAACTTTTTTTTTTTCTCTCTTATCTCTTACTCTAATGGCTCTCCCAAGGGACAATTTGCGAATTGTCTCATGTATTTCTTGGTTCGATAAACGTGCATTTCATATGCTACTATTCCTCTCACTAATGCTTAATCTTAGGAAATAGGCACCTGGATTCTCATCCGTTCCTCACGCTGATTTAGCGACACAATATGGTTAATGTACGTCATTGACATATAATCTACTTTGTCACTAGTTACAGGTATGTTATTCTGTGCAAGACCGCTTTTGATCTATTGGCTCTTGCTGTTATATATTTGCCTGTACACATGATAGCAGTTGCAACTGTATTTTCTAAAATCAACATTTTTCAATAAAAATTTATTGAAAGGAAAGTCTTCAAGTTACAGTGTAACAAAGAGACAAAAGTTTGTGTGCCACAAATCATATTCAGCATACAGAATATAACACTTAGAGAAATATAATATCTCTATAAACCTTACTGAGACCATATCTCTTGACATTAATTTAGTATTAATGGGGCAAGCATGATCAACAATCCAGATATTTTAAGTCCCAGAAAAAAAGAGAGAGAGAAAAAAGGGAGGGAGGGTTTGTGTGTGTGTGTATGTGTTGGGGGGTTCAGGTAGAATCTATCCATGTGGACCAGATCTTGTCATATTTGGCTGGGCAGTCTCTGTTCATATGTGTCAACTGGTACATAGAAAGTGCATATCTAACAGCCAGGCATTGTTCATTACAGAATGGTGGTGAGGAGAGATTCACTTTAAGAGGAATTTCTCTAGCATAGTTAGATGTATGAAAGAGCAGTAATTTAGCATGTTTTTAAATGGCAAGAGCATCATAAATACCCATCAATTGTACAAGAGAATCTAGTATATAGGTAGAATGAGTGCATTAGACAGTCTGGTCACTATTTGATACCAGTAATCAAGAACCTTGAGCCAACTCCACACAATGTGATGGAAGGTGCCAGTGGCGATCTAGCCTGTGAGGTGTGTAATATATCCTATGTTAAAATTTCAGTTGTACAAATTTGTACTTGGCAGAGATCATGAGTTTAGTATACATATATTATATATATTGAGTTATCACATTCTCCCACACCACCTCTAAATAAGTAGGTATGTAATTTTTTCACTTCTGGAACAATGAAGAAGTTATAAGGCCATGATACATATGGTGAGTATAAAACTAAGGAGAGGTGTTTGATAAGATCATGTGCTCTCAACATAGGTTCTATGGGTTATTGCTGGTGGGCGGGTAGGTTTCTGAGGGAACTGGGTCTTAATGGAATGCCTAAGTTAGATATCTGAAAAATACTAATTGGAGAGGCCGTATTCCCCTTTCAATGAATCAAAGGTGCAGAAATCTCCCACCAAGAAAATATAATTTAGAGTCTGAATGCCCACCGTTTTCCAGACAACAGGATTGTGAATATTATTCAGGTGAGTGAGCATATGATTGTCACAGTGAGGGGTATTAGAAGACCAGATATTGGGATCATTACCATTTAACTATTGTCAGCCAACCTTTTATTGTTGAGATATAGCCAAGGATAATTGGGGTCCTGTATATGCCAAGGATTGGACTAGTTGAGAGGAATCAACTATGGTTGCCTCCAGATTTAGAGCAAGGTTCCCATCAGGAAGAGTAATCCACCAGTGTAGGGTAACTAAAAGAGAGGCCTAGTAATAAAAATACAAACCAGTCAGAGCCAAACCTGTTGTGTCAGTAGTGAGTTGTAGAGTGGCAAGAGCTATTCTAGATGGTTTTATGTGCCAATAAGGGAAGAAGGGTGAAAAAAAAAGAGGAATCCAAATTGGGGACTGATTCTACACTTTTTAAGATATATTATAATCCTACTGACTTTTACATTAGGAAGCTCTTACTTGATCTATATTTATTTTTATTTTATTTCAGGTACTTATATAGCAATTTACGCAGGGCTTTACATATATATTGTACATTCACATCAGTCCCTAAACCCTCAAGGGGCGTACAATCTAAGCTCCCTAACTTATATCTATATAGTTTCATCTTTTAGGTGTGTTTGTAATTTTTTGTCATATACCATCTAATACTAGTATTAGTCTCCTGTCATATGTTTTATGTGCAACTTGATTTTCTTGAGGGCTTCTCATAATTGTTTATCATGTTGTAGGTATACTAGTGGTTTTTGTTCTTACATTTATTGGAGCTACAGTAGGTACTACTGTAATAAATTGGTCTTTGTATAAGAATGTGAAAGCTTTATTTATTAAAGGCACTTATATAGCACCAACAATTTTATTCAGTGATTTACATATATATTGTACATTCACATCAATCCCTGCCCTAAAAAAGCTTACAATCTAAGTTCCTAACTCACATTCATATATATAATAAAGCCAGCCATAGACGGTTCGAATCTTGTCCAGATCAGCAGGAACCAGCCAAGATTCTAACAATATATGGGCAGGCTGAATGTACCCAAGTTGTTAGATTCGATTGATCAGTTTGGGTACAACCAGCCTGTCAGAATTTACATGAGATGATTGCTAGTGGCTATTATAGTCACTAGCAGTAATCACTGTGCTCTCCTGGCGTGGACGACTCCCCCCGCTGGGAGAACAAAATGCCTCTGGGGCAGGGATTCCCCCATGAACACTGAGTTTCTTTCCTACATTCTGTGGTTGCAGGAAAGAAAATCACTCCATCTATGGCTGGCTTTAGGCAGGAGACAAATATCCTACCAGCAGGTTTTTGGCGTGTGGGAGGATACTGGAGTACCCATGCAGGCACAGGGAGAGAGTTGCAGGGAGAACATGAAAACTCCAGGCAGGTAGTGCCATGGTTTGGATTCAAACTGACAACCCTAGTGCTGTGAGGCAGAAGAGTTATAGAGTATTTTCATGATATTGTGTCCATTGTGCTTTGTATTTTCATGTTATATATATCTTGAAGCTATATTATAGGAAGTTTGTCCTTATGTCTATGACTTTTAAATGTCTTTATGCGTTAGGGCTGCGCTTTTAATATATTTTTATTTGGGGTTTTTGTTTTTCAATATAATTCATTAATATTATTGAATATATTTAGTATTTTTTTTTGTAGGGGGTCTATTTGTAGAAGCATATGTTAGCTTGGCATGCAGTAATTCCTTTGAGTGCCATTTAAAGCTCATTGCACCTTTAAAAACAACCGATACACCCTAAATTCATTGTCCCGATTGATGTCAATACATTTCAACAAAATCTCCAAATTTGCACAGAAACCTTGAGGAAATTCAAACTTTCAGTTTTACTCATCCCTAATAATAAAGAAAAAATATATAGAAAGTGCAGCAAAAAAAAAATATTTTTGACAATAATTAGTGGTAAAAAAATAAACTAATAATAAATTGCAATTGCAATATCACATTATCAGATTAGGTTGTATGCTTAGAGCATCACATTACCATATTAAGACATTATTCATTTTGTTTAATGTTTTTGCTTTAAACCTGTTACAACTGTAATTTACAATATTTAATTAATGATTACTAAAGTAGATGTAAACCTTAAACTAAATAACATTTAGCATTCTAAAGCACTGCGGAAACAATTGTCATTTTTGTTTTATTACAAAATACAGGTTTGCTCTTTTCATCCCTTGTAGCATTCAAGCACTGCTGATCCAGTGCTGCTACTTCCTGTCCACATGCATACACTCCAGCAGCTGCTGCATGTCATTTGTCAGAGTGAAAGTTCTGATGGCAACAACAATGCAATGAGATTGTAGTCTCCATTGGGAGAGCATGTTACACGCTGACATTTATTTAATTGAAAGCGGCAGTTTTAAAAATATTGAAAATGATTTTTGAAATTATATTAACATGTTAAAGACTGAATGAGCGTTTAATGATTGGGTTCATTTATAATCCAAATTACTCTTATAACAAATAGTGTAATGTGATAGAGAGTATTTTTGCATTGCAGTTTGATAGCATTCCTATTTTATAGTTCTGGAAAATCTAAAATAAATGTGAACATTATCATGAATGGAGCAGAAACCACTGTGGAATATTAAAAGGGTACAAAGTCATTTGAAAAAATACTTGATTTTGGCATAATGTTTTAGATAAGGGTACAACTGTAATGCATAAGACTATGTATAAATTACTATCAAGAATGAGTCTCAGTCAGTCCAGTTCACATTGCAATGCTTTTGTAATCTACCACAGCTTCAAATTCCTCTTTTCCTAATATTTACTACTATTTATGCTGATATTGTATTTGGGAACATAGTTGTGCTTATAGCAATCATATTTGACGCTCATCTACACACGCCGATGTACATATTCTTGAGCAACCTCTCTGTCCTAGACATTTGCTATACTTCAGCTATCCTACCCAAACTTCTGGCCATGTTGTACACTCAGTACAAGGCAATACCTCTAGTTAGTTGTATTGTGCAGATGTATTTTTTCTTGACTTTTGCTTGTTGTGAAATGATTCTTCTTGCAGTGATGGGGTATGACCGTTATGTGGCAATATGCCACCCATTACAGTATTGCTCAATAATGAATCCAAGGCAGTGTGCTTATATGTTATGTTGTGTCTGGATCACCTCATTGCTGGAGCCAGTTGTATTTATCATGTTTGTCGCCAACTTGTCCTTTTGTTCATCTAATAACATTGATCATTTTTATTGTGATGTTTCTCCTTTGCTGAAGCTTTCTTGCAGTGATACAACCAGGGGCGGACTGACCATTTGGAAACTCGGGCAATGCCCGAGAGCCCGGGTTCAGTAGGGGTCCCCATGAGATGCGTCTGGTACCTTTTTCATAGGCTTTTTTGAGTTTGGGCAAGGACACAGGGGCCCCATGATCCCCTATTGTCCGGGGGCCCCATGAGTTGTCAGTCCGCCCCTGGATACAACTCATGTTAACATCACAACCTACATTCTTGGAGTACTTGTAGGTTTCAGCACCTTAGTATCCTATGTGTTTATCATTGTTAACATTCTGAAGATTCACTCTGTGCATGGGAGGTATAAAACATTTTCTACCTGTGCATCCCACTTGAGCTGTGTTGCTTTATTTTATGTCACCACACTGTCCTTGTACATGAGACCAACATCAATGTATACTCCAATGTATGATAAGTTTTTTTCTCTCCTTTACATCATATTGATTCCCATGCTCAATCCTGTTATTTACACCCTTAAGAATAAACAGTTCAGGAACACCTTTGAAAAATTCATCATAGTGACAAGAATGCTAATCTTCCATTTGTAATTTTGAAGACAACCTGATGTGAAGCATTATTTAGGTTATTGCTGCAAAGAATGTTACAGACAGGGGCGGACTGACAACTCATGGGGTCCCCGGGCAATAAGGGATCATGGGGCCCCTGTGCCCTTGCCCAAACTCAAAAAAGCCTATGAAAAAGGTACCAGGGGCATCTCATGGGGCCCCCTACTGACCCCGGGCCCTCGGGCAGTGCCCGAGTTTCCAATGGTCAGTCCGCCCCTGGTTACAGATATACCTTGCTCTGTTGTGTTGTTTTTTATAAGGTATTTTCTACTTTAATTGCATATAAAATTGCTGATGTTAATAATTCATGTTACCAAAATGGAAGGTTCCTTTCAGATACTCCCAGTGTAAGCAGCAGTGGGAGCATCTTTCTGTACTGGTTTAATAGACTTATTAGGCTGTTATAATGATCTTGTTTTGCAGCTGAATAGTCTTCTACCAGATCTATAAAAAGTATATCAAAGTCACAGGCAAACAGGAATGAGTTATAGTCGGGGACATTTTTTCATTATTTAAGTGTAACAACATTTTTAAATGGATTATATTTGTGTTAAATGGCTGGCTTTCTTTACTATGATTGTTTGATCATTCTAAGGAGATGGACATTAAGTATAGAAAAATTGATATATTTTTTTCATTGATTTAGGTAGAAATAAGTTGTGTTTCTTGGAAGACTTAAAAGCAGGGGAGAAGTATAGAAATGTTAAATTAAACATACTGGGAGAGATTTACTAAAACTGGTGCACTCAAAATCTGGTGCAGCTGTGCATGGTAGCCAACCAGATTCTAACTTCAGCTTGTTGAATTAAGCTTTGGCAATCACACATGGAAGCTGATTGGTTTCTATGCAGTGTTGCACCGTATTTTGCATATTTTGCACTTTCCAGTTTTAGTAAATAACCCCCACTGTGTCATAAAAGGTAATTTTTTGCATACATTTTTTGTTTTCCATTTAAAGAGAATTTATTTTTTGCAAAAAAAAGTAAAAACTGTTGAAGGTAAAATGTGCAGGCAACTAGAGGTGCTTCCACATACCTGCAGCAGCTCCAAAAACCTGCAGATATGGCTGATCGCTGGGCTGCTCTGACAGGCAAAGCTTTATCACTTCCCCATAGTGTTGAACCTTGCTCATCCCTTCCTGCCTCCTGTACATTCCTGTTGGCCAGTGAGTCAGCCTATATTTGAGATGAGCAGATGAGCCAAAGGAACTGTGTGCAGGGGATGAACTTCATAGCAAGTATCTACACTACCTAAAAGCGAATACTAATAGAAAGCACACATAATAAAATTTTGCAAAAAGATTGTGTAAATCCGACATATTAAAACGTGAAACAATAGCCAATGGGGCTGATTTACTATTGCTTTTGTGAATTTTCCAGTGCTGCATTACTTTGTGGATACCTAGAGAGACGTAGCATGGCATTCATGAAGCTCTAAAGGACTACTACTAATTCAACATAGCAGCTCAGCATAGGAACATGAGAGGCAAGACAGCAGGCCTAAGTGTACCTGGGTCTTCCAGGGATTTGCCAGCTATCCGGTTTGTACACAGACTCATTTATATTGAAGCAGAAGATTGATAGCTATGTAATGGAGAAGGTGGTATAAGAGCACAAATGGCAGTAGTTTATAGCAAAAACAAAAAACAAGAAAAAAAATATTCTGAAAATACCGACATAGTTTGACCAGAGACTGCCATAGTACAGGACGATGACCAGAGACTGCAGACCAGTACAGGAGATGACCAGACTGCGGAAACTAAGTTTTACAGGAGGTGGCTGTAGAAAACAAGAAAAAAACCGGAGACTGCTGAACACAGTATGGAGATGACTGCAGACATAGTACAGGAGATGACCAGAGACTGCAGACATAGTACAGGAGATGACCAGAGACTGCAGACAGTACAGGAGATGACCAGAGACTGCAGACACAGTACAGGAGATGACCAGAGACTGCGGACACAGTACAGATGGCCAGGACTGCGGACTGTACAGGAGGTGACTGTAGACTGCGGACACAGTACAGGAGGTGACTGTAGACTGCGGACACAGTACAGGAGGTGACCGGAGACTGCAGACAGACACAGTGCAGACATACTAGGAGATGACCAGAGAATGCAGACACAGTACAGTAGATGACCAGAGACTGCGGACAGTACAGTAGATGATCAGAGACTGCAGACATACTACAGGAGATGACCAGAGACTGCGGACACAGTACAGGAGATGACCAGAGACTGAAGACACAGTACAGGAGATGACCAGAGACTGCAGACACAGTACAGGAGATGACCAGAGACTACGGACATAGTACAGGAGATGACCAGAGACTGCGGACACAGTACAGGAAATGACCAGAGACTGCAGACACAGTACATGAGATGACCAGAAACTGCAGATAGTATGGGGAAGACCAGAGACTGTGGACACAGTACAGGAGATAACCAAGAGACTGCGGACAGTACAGGAGATTACCAGAAACTGCAGACAGTACAGTGGATGACCAAGAGACTGCGGACAGTACAGGGGATGACCAGAGACTGCAGACAGTACAGGAGATGACCAGAGACTGCAGACAGTACAGTGGATGACCAAGAGACTGCGGACAGTACAGGGGATGACCAGAGACTGCAGACAGTACAGGAGATAACCAGAGACTGCGGACAGTACAGAGGATGACCAGAGACTGCAGACAGTACAGGGGATGACCGGAGACTGCGGACAGTACATTAGATGACCAGAGACTGCGGACAGTACAAGGGATGACCAAGAGACTGCAGACAGTACAGGGGATGACCAGAGACTGCAGACAGTACAGGAGATGACCAGAGACTGCGGACAGTACAGGGGATGACTAAGAGACTGCGGACAGTACAGGGGATGACTAAGAGACTGCGGACAGTACAGGGGATGACTAAGAGACTGCGGACAGTACAGGGGATGACCAGAGACTGCGGACAGTACAGGGGATGACCAGAGACTGCGGACAGTACAGGAGATGACCAGAGACTGCAGACAGTACAGGGGATGACCAGAGACTGCGGACAGTACAGGAGGTGACTGTAGACTGCAGACAGTACAGGGGATGACCAGAGACTGCGGACAGTACAGGAGATGACCAGAGACTGCGGACAGTACAGGGGATGACCAGAGACTGCGGACAGTACAGGGGATGACCAAGAGACTGCGGACAGTACAGAGATGACCAGAGACTGCGGACAGTACAGGAGATGACCAGAGACTGCGGACAGTACAGGGGATGACCAAGAGACTGCAGACAGGGTACAGGGGATGACCAGAGACTGTGGACAGGGTGCAGGAAATGACCAGAGACTGCGGACAGTGCAGGGGATGACCAGAGACTGCAGACAGTACAGGAGATGACCAAAGACTGCAGACAGTACAGGAGATGACTAAGAGACTGCTGACCTTTGGGGAGGGAGGGAGAGCGGGTACCTGAATTTGACAGATACTCGCTCCCACTTCCGCGACGTTGTCCTCCCTTTAGTGTGGGCATCCGCCTGACAGCCGGGTGCCCAGTGCGCATGCGCGAGAAGCTCTGCGCTTTGTGATTCTGCTGGCATCTTCTGGCACCTGTCATGTTTCCCAGAAGACACCGTACCATTCACAAAGCTCAGCGCTTCTCGCACATGCGCACTGGGCACCCGGCTGTCACAGCCGAGAGCCCACACCAACAAAGCTGGCTTGGGAAGACTGTGCAGTGCTGGAACGAGGAACAGGTAAGGTCCTGCTGCACAGAAGAGCTGAGTGGCCAGCCCGATATTCTGACATGGAGGCGGTGGAAATACCGGACCGGCCGCTCCATATTTGCTCCCTTTTTTGGGGGGAAAAAAGTGCGTCTTATGGAGCGAAAAATACGGTATATATTAAATGACCTGAAATGCCCAAAAGGAAGATGAGATGATGACAAGGTGCATGCTTATAGCTAGGTAGCAATTTTACTTTAGCTTTTTGTTCACCTAGAAGAAGCTAGACATTTTACATAGTTACATCAGCCTTTTCTCAACTCAGGTGTCCAGGCACCCTGTTTTGCCTTGAGGTTTCTTCAGGGCTGACTTGGCAAAATGTCTAAAAATTGCCAAAAACTTGTATACAAGTCAGCGGGTGGAACAATTCTGCCTTTTTAGTTACACAAAGTCACAGGTTTTCATTGTGCACCCATTACAACCTTCTAGCCGCCAGTGTCCTGACAACTACTACATCATCAGTTGATAAGGAGGATGTCAGCTGCCTGCACAGCATCCTATTTTGACCCTCCCCTACCCCTCTCCATCAGTGCTGGGGTCACATTAGCTCAGTGATGGAGAAAAAATGAGGGAGGAGAGAAACATTGGAATTCTAGTAAGTACCAGTGTGCAGAAGTATATTTGCCTTTGAAGAATAAATCACCTCTAATGTTGGGTGTCCTACATGTATGGATGTTGCTGCATTATATAAAACTATTAGAATAGTTTTTCACATTTTAGAATGGGGTGCCTTGGGACTGTCCATCATTTTAAAGGGTGCCTTGGGACTGTCCATAATTTTAAAGGGTGCCTTGGGACTGTCCATAATTTTAAAGGGTGCCTTGACTGAAAAAAGGTTGAGAAACACTGAATTACATAGTTAGTCGGGTTGAAAAAAAGACATAAGCCCATCTAGCTCAACCAACAGAAAAAAGAAATTCTTCATATACACAATCCTATCCTCACAGTTAATCCAGAAGAAGGCAAAAAAAAAAAAAAGGCATGATCCAAATTGCTCCGGAGGGGGGAATTGATTCCTGATCCCCAAGACGCAATCTGGATCAACCACCCCTGGTGTTATTATCTATAAATGAAAGAATGCATCCAGCTCTTTTTTTAAATAATCTACTGAGCTGGCTAGAACTAGTTCTTCATAGAGTCTATTCCACATTTTCATTTGACATGTGTAAAGGTTTCCTCAGTCCTAAAGGGTGCTCCCTTGTCCTCTGTAATGACT